AAGGGTCCAAACCTTCAGTTACAGATGAGTAAGTGCTAGAGATCTAACATGGGGCATGGTGTGTAAAGTTAAAATACTGCACTATGTATTTTAAATTTACCAGGACACTTATCTAAGTTTTATTGCCACAATAAATAAATTAATCCATTAACTGACTAATTGAAAATGGAAACTGTGAGGTGATGATTAGTTATATTAATTAGCTTGAGTATGTGATCTTTTCAAATAATTGTCCCTCGATCTCCATAGAAATGTGTTTTAGGACTCCACTGCCCCGCCATAGGAGCCCAGATCCACATATGCTGGAGTTCCTTAAATACAAGTGCACAGTGTTAACATATAACCTACACTATCCTCCTATATTCTGTAAATAATCTCTAGAGTACTGAAAATATCTAATTAAATGTAAATGCTATGTAAGTAGTTTTTATACTGTGTTTTCTTTGGAAACAATTACAAAAAAAATCTGTACATGTTAAGTACAGATCTAAATTTTCCCCTAAATATTTTCAACCCATGGTCAGTTGAATAATTGAGTATAAAATTTTTGAACACAAAGGATCAACAGTCTATAGACTCAAAACATCAAATAGCAGTATTTAAATATATATACTGTATTTGTTGATTTTCTTCAACAAAGCTGGAAAAAAGTACTAAAAAGTACTTCTATTCCTCCCTGTCCCCTTAACCCTTATTGTGAGTTAGCATTCAAATATCAGAGAGAACATTTGACCTTTAGTTTTTGGGATTGATCTATTTCACTTAGCATGATACTGTCGAGTTCCATCCATTTACCAGCAAATGCCATAAGTTCATTTCTCTTTATGACTTAGTAGTATTTGATTGATTGATTTATTGTGTGTGTGTGTGTGTGTGTGTGTGTGTGTGTATATATACCACATTTTATTTGTGCATTCATCTGTTGAAGGGCAGGCACCTATTCCATACTTTAGCTATTGTGAATTGAGCTGCTATAAACATAGATGAATACATGATTAGTGTAATTCCACATCACACACAACCAGAAAAATTGGAAGTCATACTCTGTGTATGTATAATATGTTACAATACATTCTACTGCCACAAATAAATAATAAGAATACATTTTTAAAAATCTGAAATGAATAAAAATGACATAATTGATAAGGTAAAATAGATCTCCTCATGAATCAATGGACACCATTTTATTTTTTACCTTTCTTTTCATAATACCAGAAAAAATGAAGTTCACACTAATGCAGCAGATGCAGCACTATGTTTTACAATGAGAATTATAATTTCTCATACTATTGTCAGGAAAAATTGTGAAAGACTGAAATGGGAGGGGTGAATTACTATAAGGCTTGTCTGATTCACTTTCAGGGTATCTTTTTGCTTTTGAAATATTGTAGAATTTTGTATATCAGACAAAATTGACAGAAATGCAAATGATGTATGTCCATAGAAATGAAAATGAGTTCAGTCCAGTGGAATACCATTTATTTTCTGGGTACAGTGATTACTTTGCATTTTTCTGAGTTCATTTCAGTAAAACTAATAGCCTGAATGAGTGTATTATTTGAATTACCCTTGAACCAGTTAGTGGTCCCTCTTTTATTAACTAATAAAGTGTTTTATAGGTGTTTAATTTTTATTTGCATAGAAATCATAATTTTATCTTTAAAATTAATTTCTTAACAATATTATGTTATATTTTATTACATTTTATATATTTTTTCTTTTGTTCCTTCCTCCCAAGTCTTCACATCGACAAATTAAAACTGTGATGGGGACATTTATACCCTCTAGTCACATGTTACTACTAGCACTCTTCATATGCTATGGATAGAACTGTGATGTTGAAAGGCACTTTAGAGACTGTAGACTATTGAGAGACATCTAATTTTACATAACAGAAGCGGAGGCCCAAAGAAAATCAAGGGATGGGTAGAAAATCTAACCTAGTTAACAAGAGAACCAAAAATATACCCTAACTCCTAAGCTGTATTTTTTTTTTCTAAATTTGCTCTATGTTCTTTTACATGGAGCCAACAAAATAGGAAAAATAGTTAAGTGGTCTTCAGACTTCAGGCTACCTATCATATTTCTATATATAGCAGCATACTCTAGGTTGAAAAATTCTACTTCATTGAAAAATAAGTATTTCTTTAAGACACAGATCTGCTGTGCAATCACACTTTTGATTACATCTGGCTGTCCATATTTCATAGTTAATAATCAAACAAACAACAAAACCTGTTAGTTTTCTACCCACCAACACTATATGCTTTTTTTGAATCAATTTTGCAGTAACTTATGCAATTATGCCACCAGCAGTCCTCTTCACTCCACCCTTCACACCAAAATAATGAGAGAAAATGTGTCTTTCACTAGAAATGAACTAGCTATTTAAGATAAAGACCTCAATCTTTCCTAAGTTTCCAGCATTTTTAGTTTTTTTTTCATGACTCAAATACAAAGTTAAAATTCAAATCATCTCCTGAGCTGAATTCAGAACAAACAGCTCATATCACTTAGTGTGGTAAGAGAATTAAATAATTATGAAAGGGTAAGTTCCATTTTACACTCTTAGCTAGTGACAGAATGCAGCCTTCTATCACATTCTTTTCACCATCGTCCAACCCAATTATTGACTCAGTGTTAAAACTCAAATTACCCTGGAGTTGGAGAAGAGCAAGGACTGATGATCATGCAAAGGATGTATTATGTTTAGGATCTGAAATGTGACCATCTTATCTGATGCCTGAAATCTGAACTTTAACATTGTACTTTGTAAAGTTTAATTAGGGCAAAGATTCTAATGTATGGGTTTCTTCTACTTTTTTACTCCTCCTTTCAATTTTTGGCATTCTGCTTCAACACGTCCATTAGAATGGGGGAAATTCTTGAAGTCATTTTGGAAATAGATTCAACTTGTCCTTGGACATCCTTACTTCCTTCTTGAGGTTGTTCTTGGTTTTAAAACTTTCTTAAAACCATCACTGCTGTAGTGCCTTGCCTTCCTTGCTAATCTTAGAAGTCCTTAGGTTCCCAGGACTTTCTCAATGGCCACGTATAGGATCCATTTGTTTCTCTTCCCAAAAGGCTCTTTAGTCCACATTTTACTCATCCCCCCTTATTTAAAGACAGTGAGTCATCCACCCTCATTGTAATGGCAGTGACTCAAACTCCCTGGAATCTTTTGGTCTTAGTAATAAAAGTTTGAACCGCTTGTTTACACCAAAGTCAATGAGTAAGTCTATGCCAGATGGCATATTCTTATTAATTATGACTCTTTAAATGTGAGTGACACAAATCCTATTTTATTTTAATTAGTTTAAACCAAAAGAGGAATTTTTTTGGCCCATATAATCAAGGCACAGGAAGGATAAATAAAGGTGTCTTGAGAGATGATGGCAACCAGAAGATCCTAGGTCACTGCGAGCTTTACTCTTTGTTTCTGTGTTCTCTCCTATTCTATCTCTGAGCAGGTTTCTGTGCACAGACGGCCTGGATCCCACACCTCCATGCTCAACCCACATAGCATGAAAAAAGGATGCCTTCCCTTCTCAGGTCCAGTTAGAAAACACTCCAGGAAAAGGTGTTAGGCATACAAAGCAGTAAACCCTCATAGCATTGGAGTAAATTATAATCTTTGGTAACTATTCTCCCACTTGTGAAGAGTTATTACTAAATCATTATGCTAATCTTTTTACCTAAATTTTCACACTATAATCAGCCTAGGAAACAATTGACTCAAAATTAAAAGAAACATAAAGGATGTACTTCTCAGATTTGAATGAAGTTCTACAATGATTAATTTTTATTCTCATTGTTGCAGTTGAGCACTGGATCCCAAGGAAACACTGGTTTTAAGATTTAGAACACTAGATCTAATCCAAAGCAAAACCTCATCTAACTTTTGAAGGATTCAGTAGCCCAAAAAGCACACAAGTCATAATAATTATATATATTCATAAATCATAAGTATAGCCAACCTCTCATAGATGTGTGTTCCCCATCCGTAGATTTAGTCAACTGTGTATTGAAAATAGTTTTGAAAAAAATTGTGTCTCTACCATATGTGTATGAACTTTTATGTCTGCTCATCATTTCTTAAACAGTTCAGTGTAATACATATTTATATTGTATTAGGTATTATGAGTAATCTAGAGATGATCTAAAGTATACTAGAGGATTGCATGTTTAGATGAAAATACTTAGCCATTTTACACCATTTTATTTAAGGGGCTTAAGCATTTAAGCAGTTTGGTGTTGTGAGACTTTCTGAAACTAATTCCCTGCAGATAACAAGGAACTACTGTATATATTTCTTTATAAAGAGCCATCATATGCCTCCCTAAAACTTTTTTTTTATTACTTTGTCCTAACCTTTAAGTCCCTCTCTGTCTTTCTCTTTCTCTCACTTTTACACACATACACAGGGACCAACCCGTTTTCACATATTTTTTAAGACAACCATATTTCCCTCCACATGGTGTTTTCTCTTTTACACAACAGCATATCGGATTTGCTCAAATATTTTATATATTAAAAAAGTATTTCTTCACCTAGTTGACATCATCTTGAGAAACTCTCAGTATTGTTTTAAAAATGTAAACTCAAAACTGATGATGGCTGTCAGCATAGGTTGTTCTCATTGAAAGCATGATGAGTATACTGGCTTCATTGTGGATATCTTCTGCTGTTAAAAAAATGACCGCAGGCAAGTTCTTGTTAGCATTTAGACAATGGAATGTGCAGACCATATCCGAACAACAAGCCAGATGTTCTTTCCCAGGGAATAGGTTTCCTAGGGAAGGTACTCTGAGAACCTGGAGAACCAAAAGCAGATCCCAAATCGAACTTTGAAAATTAAAAAAAAAAAAAAGCAGAGTCACATATGGTATCCAAGAGTGAATGAGTTTATTAGGTCAAATATAACTGAACTTCCATAAATTTTATAGGATGAATTTATGTACTTATGAATTACTTGTTTCTAAATTATAGACATTGGACTCTATATTTTATTCATTCATTCATTTCACAGCCTGAAAGTGCTAGTCTGTCAGCCTGTGCTTGATGCCAGAGAAGGGGTGCTAACATTGCTGAGAAACTAAGAGCAGCAGCTCTAGGGAGACAGTGAGACATTTGGCTTAAAAGATCTAGAAATTCATCAGATTTATCTCTAGAAGGCTGATCCACGGGTTGGTCTGTAACAAGAAGACTGGAAGCTCCTAGAAGCCACATAGGTTGGGTGGTGGAATCCAGATCCATAGCCCAGGGAAGGGTAACATCCAGAAACATGGCCTAAGGAATGGCAGCTTCTAGATCCATAGCCCAGAGAGTGGCAGCTGCTGGACCCAAAGCCCAGAGATCCAGCATAGGTCCTCTGGCAGGGACTGCAGTGGGTGAAGGTCCTTGGTTGGTAGCAGGTCCTGGACACCACACAGGAATTCTGGCATCTTGAGGGCCTGTGGAAGATCTCCTGACAGCCCCTGTAGTGAGAGGAGCCCAGGTGGCAGGTCCTGGGATGGTGGAATTTGGTGGTATAGACCAGGTTTCTGGGGTACGAAGAACCACAGAAGGAGTGTGAATAGGGCAGGTGGCCCCCAAAGGAGTGGGAGAAGTATCCAGAGTGACAGCTGTGGGACATGATGAGAGATGTGAGTTTAGCTGAGTGGATCTGAAAAGATGCTCTGAGTTTCAATGTCAAGGTCTGGACTCCAGGTTATATATACTCTTGCACCTGGGTGTGTCCAATTTCCTGATGTTCCATCTTTCTCCCTCACCTTTTATATGAGAATGTTTTCAAGGTTATTGTTGAAGTTTATCACGTGTTCATGTAATTGCACTTTAATCTCTCTGATACACTTACCAGGAAGCCACTCACTGTTTTCTGTCCCTAGAGTTTGTTGTGGTTTGACCTTCAGCATGATAGTTGATCATGTTTTTGAAGGTCTTGCTCTTATGATCTGTGCGCACACAGAGTCCTTGTTCTACCAAAAGAAATTGCATCAGTTATTTCTTCAATTTTATGAAGTCACCAGGAACATCAGTGGTAACTTTTCAAAATGACTCATCCTTTTATACTTTATAAGCACATTATAGTGAATTTCTTTTAATATTATCTCTACTCAGTTAAATCTCTTTTCTCTCCATCTTGAGCTCAGGATAAGAATTAAGGAGAGCAACAACATTGTTGGTGTTCATATCAATAAACTTCCTGAAAGAGAAGCTTTCTTATATTATTCTCACTAAGGAAATAATAAATAAAACACTTGTAGTGAGACTTTTAACAGAAGTTTTTTTCATGTATTTTCTTATTAGTCTATTTTGTAGCTTTTGCTTATACCCTAAATCAATACATAAAATCTATTTAAATTTTGTCTTTGTGTTTTGAATTTTTTATTGGTAGAAGGATAATTAGCTACAATATTAATATATACTTCAAAGAACATTTTGGGGATTGTTAGAAATTTCTGCAGATATTAAATTGAAGCCTTAGAACTATGTGCATATTTAACTGAAATTTGGTCAATACATGCATAAAAAATTATCTCTCAAAAAGTTTCCTTAACTTTCTTCTAATAGCTCAGTTAGAGAAGTAAGAGTGAGTCTTTAACTATGGGTTCCTTATGCAGAGTAAAGTTTCAAATACTCTGAAAAATTTAAAAACAAATTCTAACTTGTCTCAAAAAAGAATTTATTAAGCTTATTGATACTGATATGAAAGTCTACTAAAGCCTTATTTATCTCTTCTAAGTATGTTTACATTGAATAGTGTTTGGAGGAATTCTACGTTTCACTAATCTTCATACATTTTAAGCAGAGTTTTACCTTCTGGCCTAGGAAAGAAAAAAAGAAGCAGATAATCCATACTTAGATTAATGTGGGACAAAAACCTTCTTATCTGCTTTGTACCCATTCTTCTTCTTTTCAATCTGACGTTTGATTTGGTTTAACTAAGGGAAATGGCATCCACAATTGTCATTGAGGGAGAGCCACTCAACTATCTAAAAATTAATTCTCTTTATTCCCAAGCATGTGCATGCTTCAGAGCATTAGTTACTTTGTTTTATGATTTTCTCACCCATACAGAATCCAATGTGTGGCATGCATTGCATGAAGTGCCCTTGTGCAATACTTAAGCCATCACTCTGATTCACTGAAGCAAAATAAGCTGTGCTTTATGAATGGACACCTATTAAATTTCCTACAGAAGCATGTGCCATCCCCAACATATGGTATTTTTTATAATGTCAGCCTTGAATTCCTCTGGAACTGCAAATATTACTCGTTTCTTGTTAAAACTCGATTCTGCTAAAATACAAAAAAAGGAAAGAAAAAAACTTACTTTATAATATCCATAAGTTCTTGCTTTTCCAGGTCAGCTACCCATGAGAGGAAATAAACATTAAAATTACTTGAGAGTAAGTCAATTCTAATTAATACTTCCTCCACCCACCCTTAATTACATTAATATTTTTCATTAGAGTTATTTGTGTACTTTGTGCAAATGGTAATGAACAACTCATAAATATGTACCTCTGAATGAAAGAAAAAGTAAGACAAAACTAGAGTAGTTTCAGTTGTTCAGAAGTGGATTTTGGAACTAATTAAATATTCTATATGTGTCTTCTATATATACAGGCAAACTGTTCAATATTTGAATGTGTCAGAGGAAAAGGTGCAATACTGAAAACTTTCCTTCCTTTCTTTTTAAAAATTTCTTTTCTTCCAAGAAATTGAGAAATACTAACACTACAGAGAAAAACTAGCTTTGCAGTACTCAGTACCCAAAAGTAGCTTATGATATGAACTGCTTAAAAAAGATTTTTCCAGATCATCATGTTAATGTAGCTCAGTCTTCAAGCTGACTCTTATTGAGATTTTGTTAGATTTTTGAAAACTCTTAAAATCAGGCAAAAATATTCGGTAGTAACAAAAATAGAAGAAATCTCTATACTCCACTCTGTACACAGTTCTTCCTTCATACTAAATTTTATAGTCTCAAAAATTAAAGAGGCTTTATTGTTCAATCCCTGGTGTTCTTCCTCATAATAGCTGTAGTTTGCTGGATTTGGTTTTCCAAATGCATTCATCCTGAGGGGATTTATCTGTTAAAGGAGTAACACACACTGAAGAATTGGATCAGTGAAGGACTCCGCAGAATCACTGGCCCACTCTGCTCTTGGCCTCTTGCTCAGATAACCAGCAAACCTTGGCTGGCCAACCTGCTATAATCAGTGTTTGTGATTATTCTTGAACCTGGTATCTCTCCTACCTGACTGCATCTTTTTCTACTTCAAATGGACCCATGTTGTGTCTTGTGACTCAAATTCTCCCTAATTTGTATTTTGAATATAAAGGTCAGTGTATCTGCTTTCCAAATAGCTCTGCTCACAGAAGAATCTTTTTTTTTTTTTACCACTTGCAAGAACCTACCCTGATGTTTGTCCAAAGCTGTTTGAGAAACTGGAACATCTAAATAAAATACATAGAGGAATATGGTTTTCTGTAATACCTAAAATCATAATTGTTACAATTTTGTCATTTTTTGTATAATGATTTCTCTTATTAATTAAAGAAATAAAATATCAGAAGGCTGTTTCTGGTGGCCAACTTCAGTCTGGTTCTTTCCTCCTTGCCAAAGGCATCACGTGATATGTGATATCAGTTTTCAGTAACCTTACAGAAAATTTTCTTTACACATGTTTGTAGGTATAGACAGTTCATTGTATTATTATTGGTTAAGTTGCAATAATTCTCTCTTATGGAACATATATGGATGATTCTCTTTATATATTAAAATTATTTACATAAACTTTTAAAGAAATATCCCCATGTGGATATTTATATATTTGTGCCATTTTATTTATCCTTTACTTTTTTGATTTTTTTCATTATCATAAATCATATGCCCAGAAGCATACTTTTGTATAGGTCCTTTTACCTGCTGCCTAGGGCTCTGGCAGGTGTGTATTCAGAAGTAGGACAGCCAGGCATTGTGGCTATTAAAATGACAGTCCTTGAGTGTAGGCTGACTGGATTTGAATCCTGATCCCATCATTTATTAGCTGTATAAACCAAACATGCTGAATTTCTCTTTCTAGTTATCTTTTGCCCATTCTTCTATAGAATCATCTGAACTGTAAATTTATTTTTATATTCTATATCAGGTCTTTGTGTTTCATATGTATACTCCTTTGGTCAGTTATTTATACTTATTTTCCCCAGTCAGCTCTATTAAGATACAATTCCTGTGTAATGAAATTCATCATTTTGAAATGTATTAATCAATGAGTTTTGAAAAACAGTCATGTATAGTTATGTAATCATTAACCAATCAAGATAAAATATGTTCATTATTGCCAGAAGTTCTCACACCAATCTCTTCATACCTGAAGTTCTGTTCTTGTCTTTGAAGAGTAAATGGAAATACACATCACATGACCTTTGTGTTTAGCTTCTTTTAAAGAGCATAATGCACTTGATGTTTCACATTTCAGTTATTCAGTATGATTTGTTACTAAATGGTGATTCATTATCCATATGTCATACCACTTTATTATTCATTCACCATGAAATGAACACTTACATGATATCTAGTTCTGGGTTACTTTGGATAAAATTTCTATAAACTCGTGAATGTAAATATTTATGTGAAAGTATGTTTTTAATTCTTTTGAGTAAATGTCTTGGGGATGAGATTATTTCATATGGTAACTGTATATTTAGCATTATAAGTAACTGCCAAACTCTTTTTCACCATGGATGTAACATTTTTGCATTCCAAACAGCAATGTATGAAAGTTTTCCTTGTTCCTTATCCTCAACAGCACTGTGTATATTATAATTATATAATTGTCATAATAATATAATAATTACTATTTTGCTTATTGTAGTTCGCATGTAGAGGTGCACCACTGTGGTTTTAATTTGCATTTCTCTCATGATTAATAATACTGAACGTCTTTTCATGTTCTGTCTGTGTCTCTGATGTCTTCTTTATTGATATCTTTTCAAATATTTAGACCATTTTTCTATTTGAGTTTTCACTGAGTTATAATACTTCTTTATATATCCAACATACAGTTCCTCTATCAAATATGGATGTTTCCAACATTTTTCTCCAGTGGTGGTTTGTCATGTCATATCTTATTAAAACCTTTGAAGAGTGTATGTGTGTGTGTGTG